TTAGTCTCACGAGCATCCTGGGACATTTTTGGCAAAAGGATTTAGGGTCTAGGGCACGGGGTCTAGGGTCCACGGTCTGGGTCTAGGGTCTCAAGCCCAGGGTGTCATGTCTAGAGTCTGCAGTGTAAAGACTGGGGTCTAGGGTCTAAGGTCTAGGGTCGAAGGTCTAAGGCCAAGGGCGTGGCGCCTATGCCCTAGGGCCCTGGCGCCTAAGGCCTGGCCATCGCGTTCAACGTCTAAGGCTTAGGCCTGAGGCTTAGGGCTTAAGGCTTCAGGGCGCAGCAGGGATCCGGGAGGCGGTGGGGCATCCCGAGGAGGACCAGGGCGATGCCCGGTAGGCGGGGCATTTTTGGAGCATCTTTAGGAGCATATGTAGGAGCATTTTTGGAGCTGACCGAGGAGGACCAGGGCGGGAACCGGGAGCCGCGGAGCATTTTTGGAGCATGTTTTGAGCATTTTTGGAGCATTTTTGAGACGAACCGGGGACGGAGCATTTTTGGAGCATCTCTAGGAGCATTTGTAGGAGCATGCTCGGAGCATCCCGAGGAGGACCAGGGCGATACCCGGGAGGCGGAGCATTTTTGGAGCATCTTTAGGATCATTTTATGAGCATCCCGAGCAGGGCCAGGGCGGGGTCCCGGGGAGCGGAGCATTCTTGGAGCATGTCTGGAGGGGTTCGCAGCCGCCCCTCAGGGGGGTCGCAGCCGCCCCCCAGGGGGTTCGCAGCCGCCCTCAGGGGGGTTGCAAATTCCCCCCCCCCAGGGGGGTCACAGGCTCCAGATTTTTGCAAAGTCCCCCCAGGGGGGTCGCAGGCTCCAGATTTTTGCAAAGCCCCCCCAAGGGGGTCGCAGGCTCCAGATTTTTGCAAAGTCCCCCCCAGGGGGGTCGCAGGCTCCAGTAGTGAAATCGCTTGAACATATGAAAAATCGCTCGCGCTCCGCGCGAGTTTGGAATTCTTTTTGATAATCATAAAAATCGCTCGCGCTCCGCGCTAGCTCAAGATTTTTGCGAAGTCCCTCCCGGGGGGGTCGCAGGCTCCAGATTTTTGCAAAGTCCCCCCAGGGGGGTCGCGGGCCCCAGATTTTTGCAAAGTCCCCCCAGGGGGGGCGCGGGCTTCAGTTTTTAGCAAAGTGCAAAATCCCCCCCCCCCCCCCCCCAAGGGGGTCGCAGGCTTCAGGCTTCAGGTTTTAGATTTTTGCAAAGTCCCCTCAGGGGGGTCGCAGGTCGCAGGGTCGCAGGCTGCAGATTTCTGCAAAATCCCCCCTCCCCAGGGGGGTCGCAGGCTTCAGATTCTTGCAAAATGCAGCGCCTTGCCCCCTCAGGGCCCCAGCGGGGGTCGCATGCTGCATGCTCCCGGTTTTGGCAGCGTCCACCCAGGGGGGCCGATGGCCTATGGCCTATGTGTGGCCTGTAGTCCTACGGTCCTACGGTCCTACGGCCTATGGCCTATGGCCTATGGCCTATGGTCCTACGGTCCTGCGGCCTACGGTCCGACGTCCTACGTCCTGCGGCCTAGGGCGCAGGGCCTAGAGCCTAGGACCTAGGGCTGAGGGCCGGCCCCACGCGCGCGCGGGAGAGGGGCGCGCCCGCGGTGGAAACGGCGCTGCTGATCTGGCGGCGCGCGCGTGCCCCGAGGCCGCCGCCGGGCCCGTGGCCGGCGCGGCCGCCGGGCCGTGCGCGCGCTTCGCCACCGCGGCCGACCTCGCAGCCCCGAGCAGTCGCCCCGAAGCTAGTCCGCCTTGAGCTTGCGCGCAGGAGCCGCCCCGAAGCGGCCAACGCACCCCCACAGAGGCAACCCGGCAACCCGTGAACCAGGGGTCCCTCCTCCTCCGCCTCCTCTTCCTCCTCTTGATCCTCCCTCCTCCTCCCTCCTCCTCCTCATCATCCATTATCGTACGTATGAAATGTTGTCATATTGTTGCGGTGTTATCTGGTACCTGCCACCGCAGCCCGTAGCCATTTTGGCATTTTGGCCCAAGGACAGCATCTTTCGAAGTGTCGAAGTGGCGCAGGGCGCAGGGCCCTGCCGCATTGTCGCCCCAGAGCAGCGCAATAGCGCAATAGCGGTGGCGAAGCTCTTGGGGTTCTTCAGGTAGGGAATAAGGGAGTAGGGAGTAGGGAGTAGGGGTCCATCATCAGGCATTATTCATTAAGCATTCGTCAATAGGATGCAGCTGTGCAGGCTTCCCAGCTCCTAGCACGTTGCATCGCTGGGTCCAGCTCTCCAGCTTCCAGCTGCCAGCTCTACTCTCTACTTTATACTCTATAGCTTTGGGCATCTTATATCATATCACCTATAACCTATAACCGGGTAGCGAATAACCAATAACCTCATGTAGCTACCGAGTTATCTAGAACTTAGAGCTTAGAGCTTAGAGACTACAGGATTGGAGATCTAGGTTCTAGGTTCAAAACAAATCCTGTAGATTGGCCATCGACCATCGACTCCGTATTCCTTAATATGATGATATGAATGAGTTCATGGTGTTATAGCTTATAGTCCGACTACCTCAGGCTATAGGCTATAGGCTATAGGAATCGCATTAAGGTGTTAAGTGTTAAATGTTAAGTGTTAAGACTGGGCCCCTAGGGCTGAAGGCCAAGGGGCCTAGTGCCTACCTAGTGCCTAGCCCATAGGTCCATGGGCCGTCGTCGTCGACGGCGGCGTCTGCCGTCGGCGTCGAAGTCGGCGTCGGCGTCGTCTGCGGCGGCGGCGGCGCCGTCGGCGCCGAAATCCGAAACGCGAAACCCGTCGGCGTCGGCGTCGTCGCCGTCGTCGGCGGCGGCGTCGGCGTCGGCGTCGGCGGCGGCGGCGGCGACGGCGGTCGCGGCGGCGTCGGCGTCGGCGTCGGCGATGGGGGTATCTTCAAAACGCGCCCGAAACCGAACGAACGCGAAAACCGCGCGAGCATTTTTCGGAGCATCGTCAAATTGCGCCGAACCCGCGCGAGCATCACCCGCGAGCATCAAATGGAGTTTTTTAGAGCATAAATAATGTTTTCAGCATTTCCCAGAGATGAGCTTGACGGTCGCCTCTTAACGCAAATGCCTGCCCTGAGCCACGCGTTCCGCACAAAGTGCGCGATCATGCCGCGCGTGTAGATCGCCTCTGACGCAGTGCGCTTTACGCACTTGGCCTCGAGGCGCGCTTTCCACCTGGACGGCGAGAGGACGTCGATGAGGGCGGCAGTCTTCGTGCCCGACTTTTGCGGAAGACTCCGCTGTCCCAGGAGCTCGTGGACAGCCGCAGGGGCGCGCGCCTTCTGAGCCAGCGGGCTGCTCATCAAAATGTACAGCGTCGCGTTCCACGTGCCGGGGACGACGAACGCGCGCGCCTGATCAGGAGCGAAACAGCTCGCGGGCTTCGCGACGTTGCGCAGGTCCCTCTCCAGAAGGAGGTTGAACCTGGCCCCGTTGATCCCCGCTGCCGTCTCTCGGAGCTTGAGCTCCGCGGGCCTTGCCCTAGCGATGGCCGCCAAATTCTCGACGCCAGCTCGCAATTCATCGTCCGTCGCGAAGCCCATGGCGGACGCGACGGCGATGTGCGCGACAGAGTGCATTGCCTGTCCTCGCCCGCGATCCCGCTTTTTGTTGAATGCAAGTTTTGCAGAGGGCGCGTGCTTTATGGCCTGCGTCATCCTTCACGCAGGCGACTTGTTTGTGGGCGCCGCCGTCCGGCAATGTCATGGCGAGCTTCGCGAAGAGCCTCGTGCTCGAGCCGTCTGGGAAGTTCAGAGCGACTCCTGCGTCGAAGCTGTGGCCGCGGACGCTGAACATCATCTGGAGCAGGGCTCCGTAGACCTGCGTGATGTCACCGCCGTGCGTTCTCACTCTGTCAGCCCGCTCGCAGGAAAGACATATCCACGCGTCTTCGTCCGTCAGCAGCGGCCACAACTGGGCGAAGGAAATGTAAGCGACCCAGCACTCACGCTGGTTGTGGCCTGACAGCTGGTTGCCCGGGACAACCTCGTCGCCGTCGACCGCGAGGTCCCGCGGCTCGCCCATGGATGGAGGCCGCGAGGCGATGACGCGCTGCGCGGCCATCGCGAAGCCGCCGCCCGCGGCGCGCGCCTCGCTGAGGAAAGCGAGCGGGCTGACCACCAACAAGTGGTCTACCGAGCCGTCCGCGCACTCCACGGGTAGCTTGGTGAGCGACGCTCCGCGCTCGCCGTTGCCGCGCATGATGGGGCCCCGCGCCTCCCTACTGGCTTCGCGGTTCCTGACCTCTGGAAGGTCGTGGTTGCGCTCCTCCAGGATGGCGCTCAGGGCCGAGGCCGACGCGTGAGGGGCCCTCCGCTTGAACGCATCCATGCGCCTGAGCTTCCACTCCCGCTCTGACCGTCGGCCCATGATCTGCGTTTCGCGCGCGAGGGCCGCGCGCGCTGGAGTCAAAATGCCCGCGGCCAACGTCCTCAGGACCTCGATGACCACATCATGAGCAATGCTCGTGCCGCTGACGACTGCAGGGCATGTGGCGTGGCAGGCGTGGAATGTGATGCATAATGTCTGATGGGCGGCGCGCCAACATGGAAACATTAAAGCCATGTTCAACCGCAGGACAGCGTTTGAAAACCTAACCCCAACCGTTTTCCAGGCCACATGCAAAACATATGCTCGTACGTGTTGCAGGACAGTGTTTTACAGCCTCGTTGCAGCACATATGTTCTTTGCGTCTTGCAGGAGCGTTTTATAATCTCGTCCCAACAGCTATGAAGGGTAAACACCAGAGTTCGACGGGTTAAAACCAGAAGCCAACATTGAAATCCGCCTCTGGACATGTTTTCTTTGCTCATTTTTTGTCAAATCAACATAAGTGCTAGGCTTTTGTCCCTGCTTCTATACACAATAACACAATTCCATCACGTTCGATACACCAGTTTCTATATTCATGATACTGTCTTGTCTGTTCTATATACTTCTACAAAGTATATCAAGTTGTGGCAGAGAGGTGGGTAAAACATGCTGCTTTCGCTGGCCAGCCTCGTTCGAAAAAACGTTCGCATCGGCCTCCAAGGCCCTTTGCAGGAGGAGGAGGATGCGGAGGAGGAGGAGGAGGAGGAGCAGTGGCCGCCACCCTCTCGAGAGGTATCGCGCTGGGTCCGTCGCCTCCTCCTCGGCGACGCTGCCTGGCCTCCCCGAGGACGGGGGCGGCGGGCCAGAGCCAGCTGTCTCGCGAGTGCCAGAGGGACAGAGGGCGCGAGGGCGACTGCTCTGGGGGAGCAGGCGGGGCGAGGAGCCAGGAGGCGGGAGGATTGGAGGGAGGAAAGGGATCAGAGGGAGGGGGGGGAGGAAGAGGAGGTGGAGGAGGAGGAGGAGGAGGAGGAGAAGGAGGAGGAGGAGGAGGAGGAGCAGGAGCAGGAGGAGCAGGAGGAGGCTTTCCGGAAGGCTTTCCGGGAGGCTTTCCAGGAACATGATTCCCTGCTCCCCTCCCGCGCCCCCCCCCCTGCTCTCTGCGCTGCGTGCCTGCTTCCCCTCCTCCTGTGTCCCTCGTCGCTCCCTCCTCGTGGTCTCCTGTCTCTCCTGGCTCCGCGGCCTCTCTCGCTCCTCTCGCCCGTCCCCGTCCTCTCTGCCTGGTCGTCCCTCGTCCCCGTCTGCTTGCCGGGGGGCGCGGTGCATAATTTTGTGGGGGTGGCAGTAATTCCCGCCGCCGCGGGCCCTCGGCGCAGTGCTACGGGACACGGCAGTTCTCCCCCTGGTCTTCTCGCTTCTTGTCCGCTTGCCTCGTTCCCTTGCTCGCTTCTTGTCCGCTTGCCTCCTTTCTTTCAGTGCGCGAGGACGCGGAGGAGGAGGAGGAGGAGGAGGAGGAGGAGGAGGAGGAGGAGGAGGAGGGAGGAGGAGGAGGAGGAGGACGGGGAGGGGAGGGGAGGGAGGGGAGGAGGAGGAGGAGGAGGAGGAGGAGGAGGAGGAGGAGGAGGAGGAGAAGAGGAGGAGGAGGAGGAGAGGAGGAGGAGGAGGAGGAGGAGGAGGGAGGAGGAGGAGGAGGAGCAGGAACAGGAGAGGAGGAGGAGGCAGAGGAGGAGGAGGAGGAGGAGGAGGAGGAGGAGGAGGAGGAGGGAGGAGGAGGAGGAGGAGGAGGAGGAGGAGGAGGAGGAGGAGGAGGAGTAGGAGGGGGAGGAGAAGGAGGAGGAAGAGGAGAAGAAGGAGGAGGAGAAAGAGGAGGAGGAGGAGCAGGAGGAGGAGGAGGAGTCGGAGGCGGAGGACCAGGAGGAGGAGGAAGAGGAGGAAAAGGAGGAGGAAAATGAGGATGATGAGCAGGAGGAGGAGGAGGAGGAGGCGGAGGTGGAGGACCAGGAGGATGAGGAGGAGGATCATGCGGAAGAGAAGGATGCGCGTGCCGCCCTTCACTTGCAGGCGTTCTCTCGCCGTCCCTCGGCGTCTGCGTGCTTCACGTTTGTCTGTCGCAGGTCGGCTTGCGTTGGGTTCCTGGGTCTGCCTGGCCACGTTTTGACTCGCACTGCGGTTGAGGTCTACATTGGAAGCCCATGTCAAGTAACACCCTGCTTGCCGCTTGCCCCCTGGGCGCCCTGGATTTCTTGGGTTTCGATGGTTCTGCTATGGAGACCGTGACGTCCCCATACCAAAAATCAATGGACATCCTGGGGTCTCAGGGTTGGACTTCTTGAGGAAGGTTTCTTGTGGTCGAGCTCCTACTGCAGTTTCGTGTCAAGTTCTGTGGCCTCATCCTCGAGCGAATCTTTCGTCGTCGGGTGGCTGCGCAGTGCAGCGCAAGAGCCAGACATGCCGCTCTTGCCGCTGCTTCTTGCGAAGCATCGGCGGGCCGAAACCCTGAGCAAGACGAGGGGCTTACCAGACATTTGTGCGAAGTTCGCCGGATCAGGCTTCGATTTCCCATCGAATGTTTTCTGGTCTCTGTGATGAAACGTAGGCGCTGCGCGCAAGACAACCTGCTCGTATCTGGCAACTCTGCAACATCGTGGGAAGCTTGGGCCGGTGTCGTGCGGATCGCGACGTTGCTCTCCGGCCATCAGGTCTCGCGTGGCAGGCAATGCCAGGAGTAGCTTAGACATGCCGCGCAAGATCAGAAGGCTCCAGGGAATAAGTTGGGCGGGGCTACGTAGGACGAGGATAAATCCGTTCCAGCGCTTTCCGGAACGTTCTCAGAGCGTTCTGGAAGGCTCAGAGAAGGCCGCAGCGACCGATACATCTTCCAGAGCCGCTGGATCTTAGAAATTCTTGATTTATCCTCGCCCGACGTTACCCTCTTCCTGGCCTCGTCTTCATAAGACCTCAACGGTCCCAGGAAAACTCGTTCTGGATCCCCCTGAGGAGGGGGGGAGGAGGAGGAGGAGGAGGAGGAGGAGGAGGAGGAGGAGGAGGAGGTAAGATAAGATAAGACCGATCGCGAAGCGAGTTCAACTAATTAGGATAATCTAGCCGCTTTCTCAGTTTTACTGAGAACTTCGGGCTTAAGACCTCGGGATATACGGTCGAGATATTCTCGCCGTGCTTTGGTAAGTGGGGCTCTTGGGGGGGCCTTGCACTCATCAGCCAAACCTCGGAGCTGCTGCTGATGGTAGCACCCAAACGCCGCATAATACCACAGAGACAGGGATTCATGATAAAGCATTTGGTGAGACTCATGGACCCACCCTCTAGCGAGATGCAGACGCTTCCCCCGAGGAACCCTCACGACCCCCGAGGACTGGTGCTCTAGCTGGAAACATGCCGATTCTAAAAACTCCTTCTTCGCAGCCACCGTCGTGGACCCCCTACAGGCCAAGCATCTTTTTCCACACTTCGAGATGCGATGGGCGGTGCAAAAAAAAGGGCCACCGTGGCTGGGGCAGGAGGTGAGACCCTGGGAGGCGCTCGGGACCTTCGGGGGGCCTTCTTTTTTTCATCAAGGGCAGCGGATTCGAGCGCAGCCCGAAGCAACCGTTGACGGATGAGGCGGGCGTCGTGCTTAAGCTGCAAAACTCGGGCGCGCTGGTCCTGCGGGACTCGTGCTCGTGAGGCCGCCTCTCCCGCAAGGTGGTCGACGAACACGTTGCCAGCCATAGGGTGGCCCGACAGGCCACGCTTGACGACCTCCTCGCCCGAGACGTGAAACGGCACCTTGATCACTGCAGTATGGCACGGCTGTCTCTGCTGCTGCTGAAGCACCGAACCGACCTCTCGCCACAGATCTGAGTAGACTCCCTGCGGAGAAAGATAAAAAGCGTTCCCACCATCCTTTGCAGACCTCCTCATTGTCCGTGACAAAGGTCATGAAACCTGCGGACCATCGATTACCGAGGAGAAATGCCAGCAGCTCGCCCCTTGGGACGGTTTGGCGCACTCCTGGAAGCGGTCCAAAACACAAAACGTGAATCTGGCCCAGGGATCTCGCCGACTGTTGACACCGCTATGCCTACCCGAAGAAGTCGATGATCATTGTGCCGCTGCCGCCTGAAGCTTCACCATGAAGTAGAATGGGTGCGGACTCGACGCCCTCGCCGAAGAAGTTCTGATCGAGGTCGTCATTGTGACTGGCCTTCCAGCTCTCCTCGTGCGTGAGAGGGTCCACAGCCGTGGGGTGCGAGGGGATAAGCCCTCGATACCAATCACACTCCATGCTGTCACCTTGAGTCAACGCTTTGCGGCATAACCCTTGGGACATATCAAAAGTTGCTGATCCATGATGACACCTGCAGGTCCAGAAACGATGATTGGGCGTCTCTGGGCCATCACCACAGCGTGCACACTGTAATGGAATAGCATATCCTTCTTCGGCCTTGCGAGACGCCGTCCAGGCACCGCCGACCGTGATCGTGAGCAAGAGGTGAGCCAGCGTTCGCCCGATCTTGGGGATCTGCTCCAACTGGTACAACTGCTTTCTTTTACTGAAGTTGCCGACTCCAGCTTCCATGCCTCCTCCACAAAATGTTGAAACTGTTGCGTGCTGCCACTGTTTCTGCTGGATGGACCTGGTGAAGGCGCCGAGGAGCTCCACGGCCTGATCGCTGGCCTGGAGTTCGGTTCCTGCACTGTTCCGCCCGGCCTGGTGCCCTGTTGCATCGGCTGCTTGATGCCGCAACGCTGGCTCTGGGATGTCCCATCCAGCGCCGAGGAGGTAGCGAATCACAGCCGTGAGAGGACCACGTATATGTCTCGTCTGATGGCGAGGTTCACGCCGCAGAAAATCCGAAGCTGTGGCGCTCCAGGCTTTCGATGGGACTTCGAAACCGAGGTGCTCCCAACCGAACCCGCAACCAGTCGGCCAACCATTGACGGGGTAAAGAATATCCTGGGTCAGCGGCAGTAGCTCTGATATCTAATGAAGTAGTTAGACACCGACCTCGCGCGTGGCTTCCTGTGACGGCGCCGAGGCGCCGACGAAGGTGTGTCACCGATGTCGTAGGAAGTCCGTGTATCTGATGTCCGTATCGCGCTCCAGCCTGAGGGCCTGCCAGCTCCACCATCTGCAAGACCATGGGCCGTCTGGGCGTGAAAGCGTATCTACGAACTGTATTGTGTTGCTTGAGAGTCGTGGCAAACCTTTTCCGACGCGTCGCTCGCCCGTGCCTCTGGCCATTGGCCAGGTCGTTGCCGAGGTGCGAGGTCTGAGGAGCTACAATCGCTGAAATGCCGCGCGCCTTCAACCGCTCCTGAACACTGCGGGCGCCCCGCGTATCAGAACAAGTGATGGTGCTCTTCTTCGCGAGCTGAAGGGAATGCTCGGCCAGCAAGTCGGTCGCGGTCGTGATGCCCCCCGCCAAATCGTTGCACATCGAGGACTTCGACCCCGCGGCTGTCTGGGAGAGATCATCAAACCAGAGTCGCCCTGACGGCCGTGGGTGGCGCACCGTGCGGCGAGCCATCGCCGTGTTGGTGGCCGCCATGGCAAGCCTGGTGCCGCTCCTGAGTCCTTGAAAAATGCTTCGCGCACCTTGAGACTGACGTGAGACTGCGTCGCCCTGGTCTGAAAGCTGAGGTCCAGCACAAGTTTGTAGTTCGAGTCTTGGCATAACTGGGGGAAGCCCATAGCGGATTGCCCCTTCGATTAGAACTGACGATTCCATTTCATCGTAAAAAGATGGCATGTCAAATAATCCGTGCCCGTGTGAGGCTTTCATCTCCGTGATCAGTTCCTCGTCGAGGGCTCTCAGGTAAACCTCGCGCAGGGCGGAGTTGCCCGAG